ATAATAATAATAATAATAATAATAATAATAATAATAATAATAATAATAATAATAATAATAATAATAATAAAATATAAATACAAAGTAAAAATAAAAACCACCTAAATTTAGCAAAAAAAGATATAAACACAATGTGAAAATAAAGACCCCTATGTATGTTGTTCAAAAGAATTCTGTCTATATAAAAACTGTTCCACAAACCCTGCTATTACGTGCCATCACACACAAAGGCTTCATTTACTCCCCGTAATAGCACATATTGAAATGACTGTTTATTGGAGCCTGCCCCTGTTTAAAGTGAGCTTTCTGGATCTGATGGAGAGCAGAGTCTGTCATCTGGAGGATCTCAGGCTGTTCGAAAAAATGACTGTCATGGATGAGAAGTCGGTTTAATTTCTAACTCCCTGTAAGGGTAGAGTAGTGTGTGCTATTGAGTGGCCTTTCCTTTAAGTCGTGAGCAAAATGTAGACACACTTGGCTTTTAAGAATGTATTTATGTACGTTTACTTAGTAAGATACAGTGTTAATTCGATCCAGAAAAGAGATTTGGAATATATAACAATTATTCAATAGTCCAGTGTCCTTGTAATGGTTTATTACAAAAAATTTTAAGCTAAAGACAGTTTGTTTTCCACATTAGAAGCAAAGCCTTTATTTACAGGGGAAATAACGACAATTATGTAATCACAGTAAAATAATCTCACAGTTAATGAGAAATTAAATTTTGTTATTTAATCCGGGGCGTTAATTTGTGGATTATTGTGTTTAGTTTAAAATCTACAACCCTTTTTTGAGTTGTGGATTCATTATTGTGGATTGCGTAAATCTTAACCCTATAATGCCAAATGCATCATATCTGATCCGGTTTCTTTTGGATCTGAGACTTTTTGCATCATTCAGTGGTAAAAGCTTTGCTCAAACCCCTGTTGTACACATTCAGATATACCTGATAACAGCCAGTAGAACAATACAACAAAATACATTTTTGACTAATTGCACGCTAATTTGATCAAAATTATTTCGTTTTTTTTTTTTCATATGTTGTTGAGGGGCCAAAGAAAGACTTCAGACTAAAAAAATCCAATATTTTGACCATTTTTTTAGATATTACTATATTCTTCCTATTTTTCTTGGATCAGGCTTTAAAGGGTTAAATATAGTATTGAATGAGAAAGTAAATAAACACATTAGGTAAATGGTGGCGTTTTGTTGGGTTTACATGCAGCTCAAACTCTCCATATCCGCTTTGGGATCAACATCAAGGGCTTTATGAAGGCATCACGTCTCATGTTTTGCTTCATATGCTGACTGCTGAGTTCCCTGTGGGAGAAAAGGGGG